CCAAGTAATAATACTGCAATACTGGGCGCTACTTGGTCCTCCAGCCCCGCCGAGTATCCCAGTATCCGCATCAGAGATGGCCAGTATCCAGCAGTATCCCGCAGTATCCTGCAGTATCCTGCAGTATCCCAGTATCCGGGGTCGGCCCTCGAGCGATGCACTGCGCTGCGGCCGCAGTCGCACGTCCAGCAGCGGGATGCGAGGCAGCAGCTAGGTGGGGAGGGATTGAGCCAATTGAGCAGCGTGGGCAAGCGAAGACTGCCGTAAAGTGTGTGCCCGCGCCCTGCCGGCGCAATGGTGTAAACGCGTGTGCAAGGGCTGGCGGGGTGGGAAGGCGGCAACGGAACGAGGTGGGCGAAGACGGCTGAGGCGCCAGTGCTGGAACTGAGGGAGAGTGTCGTGGCAGTGCACTGGTGCTGGTGCTGTGTGGAGAGGAAGACCCACATCGGGGAGGCGTCACGGCCAACATTGAGCGCAGCAAGGTGGTCACGTCCTGCGGCGCACGCACAGGAATCATAGTATATCACACAGCAGCTGTGCCGTAAAAGGGTCCCAGAGCTATCTCGGTGGCTAGGGGCGCTGGATTGGCTGGGCGCGTCAGCTCCCACAAGCGCACTGCATGCGATATCAACGTTGTGATGCAGCGTCAGCCTTGGCAATTGAAGCTTGGCGCCGGCACGCAGGAGCACCAGCGTCTGCAGCGCTTGAATGGCGTGTGCAAACTTTTGCATCTCAGGCGGCCGGGCGTCGCGGCGCCCTCTCGCAAGTGCTGTGACCCAGGGAGGGCGCGTGAAAGTGATAGAACGGTCGAAAAGTTCGAGCCGTCATTCTGTCGCCGAAGTTCCTTCGATGTCTCCTCCCGCTAACCCCAACCAGCCCCGCACGACCCCAATCGGCCGCACACCGCCACACAGCAGGCTCTGGTGACCGACACAACTCTTTGCTTGGCGCCGGACCGTCTCGAGTGAACCCACCGCTGTGGGCGCCGCCGCTGAGCATCACGGCAAACGGGTGACGGACCTACACATAAACTGAATCACCTCGGCCGACCATGCCGCTGCGGCCGACGATGTCGGATGCTCTCGAGCACTCTCCAGCGCCGGGCGCGGTCCTGACACAGCCGGCCGTGCTTCACCGCCGCTGTTCAGCTCGGCGGCAGAAATGGCAGCGGATACGAGCTCTTTACCGACTACCGAGCGGCAGTCGGAGAACTCGTGAGCTTCCACACATCACAACTCCTGCCGATGCATTCTGGAACAATCACATAACGCCTGCCATCACCACTGCCCACTTGCGACATTTGTAGCCCAAGCCGGTCCGTAGTATCCCAGTCTCCCAGGATCCAGTATCCACATCAGCCAGGGATGCTCTAGGGAGGGGTGCAGCTGCATGGTGACAACTACCAGTGAGAAGGATGGGGATGCAGCTGGCTGCTGGACCATGGCTTACACAC